AGAGAAACAGAAAAAGAGACAGGAGCAGAGAGAGAGAGTAGGGAGGGAGGGAGGGAGGGAGGGGGAGAGAGAGAGAGAGGGAGAGAGAGAGAGCAGAGAGAGAGAGAAATAGAGACAGATCGAAAGAAGGACGCAGTTCACGAAGGAAGAATTACAGATAATAAACACAAATTCTAAACTTTGGCTAGTAAGAAACGATATTCTGCAATAACGAGAACGTTACGTCGTTCCATCTTTTTATGGTATCCGTCGTCGCGTTCTCCGATCTTTTTCAAAAATACGTGCATACACTGTACTAATTATGAAAGTAAATTCAACAGAATTAGTAGTCTTATGAAAAAAAAAAAAAGTCAGACGAATGGGCTGTGAAAGAGAGAGTCTCGTGTACGAAAAAAAAAGATGCAACATGAATGCGCATGCGCGTAAAACGCGCGCGTGTATGTAGACGCGATGATCGGGTGTGTAATGACAACGAATTGAACAAGTAAAAAAAAAAAAAAGAAAAAATACTTCATTATTCTTTTTCTTTTTTCGCTTCGTTTTTTTTTTTTACGATCAGCGGAAAAGAGAGAAAGAACGAGAACGCAAAATAGAGGGGTTTTGGAATTGTTTTCTTTCTTTATCGTCTAACCGTTTTTTCAGCCTTTTCTTCGTGTCTCAGGTATAAAACTAAACGGGCGATTAAAGCCTTTCGTGTAAAACTATATACTCATTATACTTTGTTCTCTCTATTGTGCTCAAGTGTAACAACATCTTTCATTCTTTCTGCTATACATGCGCGGTATTTTTTTTTTTTTTGTATTACATTTTGTTCTCTTCATCGTAATTTTCTTTTCTTTATTATTATATGTATACACGTATACACTCAGGTGATTTCTCTTTTCCCCGTGTGTGCTTCAAAAAATTGACAGACTCGATTCGCGTTGTTATACATGAGACACTTGATAACGGCGCTGCTATTCTCTCTTAACAATGAAAGTGTAACGCTGGTTATATTTAACCGACGATTATTATTATTTGTTTTTTAATACGCACGTATCGTCAAATTTATAAGGTTCCTCCTACACATTTTTCTCCGTATCTTTATCTTTTCTTTTCCACCTTCTATCTTGTTTGTATTCGTTTAATTTTTTGTTTGTTTGTTTGTTAAATGATCTTCGTATGTCGATGTCGCGGTGGTCCGTTTTGGAATAGCTATATAATTATTATAAATATATTTATATGTGTTATGTGTCTCTGCGTGCGCGTCCGTGCACACGCACGTTTTACACACGTTTCTTTCTTGTTTCTCTTTTTCCCGCGTGCGTATGCACACGCGCGTACACGTATACAATAGGTCCATGCATTTTTTTTTTGTTTTTTTTCGTTTTTTTTTTTTCGTTTAATTTCATTCTTTTTCTTAATGCGCGTGTAATGCAATGGTGTGAAAGTGTGTGTATGTATATGTGTCTGTGAATGTGACATTAGTGTATACTAGGAATGTACACAGTGTACGTAGATATAATTAGGTTGTGTATAAAACGATGATACATACTATATTCATTACTCGTTTTTATATCAAACGACACATAATTATGATATCAATTTTTTTAGTCTCATTGTACGATGCTCAACGGCGATTCGGGCATCGTTCGCCAATAATAGGCTAGTCTTGTCCTGTCTTCTCATACATTGTCGATGTACCCCGCGGATCTTGTTTGCCAACGATTAAATACAAGACCCGTGGTGGCGTGAGATTACCATTACAAGAACCTCCAAATGAATGGCCATCAGTCTTTGAGACGTACGTAGGTTTTGGCATACGCGCGATCTCTTCGTTTAATTAAAAGAGAAAAAAAAGAAAAGAAACAAAGTAAACGAAACGATATTACATTCGTTTATTATCATTATCATTTAATTCGTCTAAAGATAATCGTTAACCGTTTTGGTGCTCAGGATTAAAAAACAAACGCAGGCAAGCGTGTGCGCGGAAACGCTCGCGCCTGTACCAAGCAGGCATAAGAGAATTAGTGAAACGGTTTTCCGGAGTTGCCCATGGCACCAACAGGGTTAACAAAAGTCCCCTTTGTAATTTGTACTCTCGCGAGGAAGAAGATTCGCCTTTTCATTAAAAATAAATTGTCTCGCGTCT